AATTTTTAAATCTAATAACCAAATTAAGAAAATGAGTGTTATTAATTTCAATTACTTTTTTTTTTCTAAAATAACTATTTGGATGAGTTTTTATTTTAATTGAAAATTATTTTTATATTTTTAATAATTTTTTAAATTTATTTTAATTTAATAAAAAGTACTATATTATTTGATTACTTTTTAAAATAATTAATTACATTGTACTTTAATTTACTTATTAAAAAATTTATTTTTTAAGCCAAATTATATCAATTTTTAAACGGTTTCCCCATATTATTTTTTTCACGATTCAAAGGTAGCTAAAGATGCTTTTATAGTCTTAAAAATTGGTACTAAGAGCATCTACAACGATAGTGTTTTTCTAAATAAAGCTTTCTGACCATTGGAGTAATTTCCAAAATCGACGGTGTTTTAAGAATAATTTTTTAGTATTATTTTTTAATATAATTTTTATATATTATTAAATAAATATATTTATTTAACATCATAAATTTTATATAAATTTAAAAAATTAATCATTTAAATAATACATAATATTATACAAAAAATAATACAAAAAATTTATCCTAAAATCATTTTCCTTTCAAAAACCAACCTTATTTATTTGATTTTGTTATAAGAGATAGGCTCAGTCAAATTTTTTTGTCCCTTTTAAGGAAAAAAAATTTGCAGGGCCTAACGTACGCTGACACGTGTCAGGCGTGGCTGATTCCAGCAAGTGCCCTCCTTTAAAAATATTTAACTCAAATTTTTTGATTTAAATATATAAAATATTAGTTATATAAAATATTATTAGTATGATTTTTAAAAAAATTCTGTTTAATTATACAGATGGGAGTGAATGTCTATTGTTAAGTTTTTTATTCAAAATTAAATATATAAAAGTATAATTTTATATAAAAATAATATTAATTATAATAATATGTCATTAAAAATAATCAAAAGAGTACTTTACCATTATACATGCTCTAACTATCATTGTTCATTAAAAAACTTGCGCCAATTATCATTATGCATCCTAATAATGCAGTGGTTAGGAAATTAGAATTTTGATTGCCATGATGGCGGAAATAAAGCTGCCCAACCAGCATAATGGTGATGTCAATAACAATAATTTCTGGAACTAAGTTGTTTTCATTTAATAAAGGGTATGTTTCACCAATAACTTATTAATTCGAATAGAACGAGTTTAATTCTCTTCAAATAAAATTTTGAGTCTGAGTTTTGTAAGTGAAGAAACAAGAGTTGGGAAAGTTTCTTTTTTTAATACGATCTGACGCAATTTAATATTAAATTAATCGGGATCTAATTTGATTATTAGATATCAAAAGGTTAATAAAAAATAATAATAATAATAATAAAAAGCATGTTTCACTGAGGTTAAAAGTTGAATTTCGCTTTTAAAAAGGGCCTTAATTTTTAAAAAATAGCAAGTTTGGTATGAAAGAAATAAAAGGGAGAAAAATGAAAGAATGTTGTATATTTTTTTCTTTCCTTTTTTTTTCTTTTCATTCATTTAAATAAATAAATGAATTAAAAAATTAATAAAGTAAAAAGCTTTCCTTTTTTTCTCCTTTTAATTTTTTAATAATTAAATAGAAAATTTTTTTCTCTTTCCTCACTTGAATCCCAAACATATTGATATTGTTTATGTCTTACGAAGTGGCAAAAAAAAATTAATAACAATAATAATGAGAATGTGGAATGGCCCCTTTGTTTTGTTGCATGCCAAACAGTGAGACGGCCTCCCTATTTTGTACCGACCCAAAAAAAAAGATGTTGTTAGGCCCAATATAAGACTTTAAAGTACCCGTATCTCATAGTCTTAGCCCAAACCTTGATTACAAGCCTAGAAAAAGGCCCAGGAGTGAGGGAAATATGAATTCCAACTACAAGCCCTGGAGTGGAGACTCTACCTTCCCCCCCACCGCTTCGCCGCCGCCGCCGCCGTCGTCGCCTCCTGCAATCAGTAAGTGAGACAAAGGCCTAATATAATCAACTTCACTGGAGTCACCGAGACGGAGAGGATATTGGGGTTTTAACCATGACTGAAGTGGAAGAAGGTCGCTCGCTGGAGTTAGAAGAAATTAGTGCAGAAAAACCCAAGAAAAGAAAACGCAAGTTCGTCAGTATGGATGATGATGACGACCATGTTCCTATCCCCTCAAGACTGTACAAAGGCGTTACGTTATCCTTAATGAATCCTCTGTACCTTCTTCGACTTGGGCCTGGAAACATTCGGTGGGGTACTCGTGAAAGATTGTGCTCTCTGTTGCAAAAACTCGTCAGGCAACATAACTGGGCAGAAGCTAGCGGCGTCTTAAGTGTTTTACTAAAGGGTACCTGCAATGTTGTTTCGTGTTCAACCTTGAATCGTTTGAAATTTTCGGTATGGGTTTTCTGCTGAACTCTTAAATACCCATATTTTGTGCTTTAGTTGTTGCTGGGGTGAATGTATTGGTTCCAAAGCTTGATTTCAATGTTGGTTTTCTTGAATTATTATTGTGAAAGCTAGGAACGTAGTTCAATGGGTCATATTAAACTTGGACATTCTCTAGTTCGCATAAAACTGTAATCTGCTGATATTGTCTTCATGATAAAGTGATGGGTAGATTGCCATCTTTAGTTGCAAGAGCATATTCTGGTTTTTTTAATGTGCATAAGTTTATATCAACCTGAAAAGTGGATTAAGGGCTGGATATTTGTGGAGATGTTCATATGTAGGTTGATGCTAGCATGGAGCCGGATGTTACGGGAGAATCTATCTGATATAAAGGACCATTAAAGGGATGGAGAGTTTTATGTTAATAGACTATCAATGGATTTCGTTTTTAGATATTTTGATCATCTTATAATATGTATTTTTTTCTTTTCATTAGTTAAAAGATTATGGTTTAACCATTGGTTGTTCTAATGTATTTTACCAGTTGCATTTGCATGTTTCTAAAAAATGCTTCTATTTTGCAGACCTGTTTTTGATGATTGTTGTTATTTTTTGTTCCTGTTTTGGATTTCTGAAGAGATGTAAAAACTAAATCATTTATGTAAGTGATACTTTTAGGTTTCAATGGAGCTTATTAAACATGTACAAGGCAATCATGTCAAACTAACGAGGATCAGGGATATATATGAAATTTGGATGAGAAGGATCAGGTCCAAGAGAGTGCGATTGGAGGTAAATTCTCTAACTACTTTGTCCTTTTTAATCCTTGTTGTGTTAACAACAGAATAGTAATACTTTTCATATCCCTTTGCCCTCTGTATCTCAAATACCTAACTAAAATTCAGGATCTCAAACTTCCTTCAGGAGGTGCTTTTCGGGTATAAGGCCATTGGAAGTTATGTAAAGTCATGATTTATCTCTTTGGTGTCCATAGCAATCTGATAGCAAAAGCATAGAAAGTACACAAATTGCCTGCAGGAAAATTGTGGAAGAAAAGAAGTATGATGGAAAGAGTTGAAAGAAATTAAGAGTCTTACATTTTATGATTTTGGTGACATTTGATAATGAGATCATTAACCGTTATCACATGTGGCATGCATTTTTATATGGCCCATAGAAGGATTTTTTGGTAGATGATAGATAGAAATGATTGTCTTAGTCCATTAAGCCCATGGGGAATATTGCTATAAGTAAAAAATTGGACGGGTGTGATTGGTACTCATATCCATGAATGAATTAAAGGATGAATTATGCTGTGTTGATGTGCTATGCGTACTACCTTTTGTTGCTCACAAGTTCTGATTGAGCAGGAGAGACTTCTGGTTCAATTGGAGTTCATTCTTCTGTATCTTATGCATGGGAATGTTGAGGATGCACATCAAGCTGCTTTAAGGTATTGTTCCTCTACTTCTGTGACCACGGATTTGGATATGTAAAAACAATTAGTTTAATAGGCTGCCTTTCCTTTTGATTTTTCTGTATTTTGCCATCTTTTTTATTGCACTCTCCTTTTTATTTTTCTTTCTTTTTTCTAGGGATTGTTTGGTTTACTATCCCAGCAATTTTATAAAGATATTTTGATATTTATATATTTTAAAATTATA